GCCTGGCTCTGCCTCCCCAGTGCTGGGATTAAAGGCCTGCGCCACCACTGCCCGGCAAATTGTGAACTTTTTATCTGGGTTTGTAACCTATAGTCTAACAACACGCAGTTAGCATGTGTAATAAATGTTAGGCAAATGAATAAAAGATTTCTCTGTAAAGTATTGAGAATCTGCACTTGTCTGGTTGGGGTTCAAAATCAATTCCACTTAGAAATATATAACTAAAAGGTGAATTGCTTTTAATTTTTATTATGTCTTTCCCTACCAAATATAAGTTTATAACACGTTCTTTCCAAATAGTCACAGACATACATATGCATAAATGTAGATATACCTATCTGTACAAAAATGGGTAAAGTAAAAACCATCAAAGACTATTTATAAATATTAAATATCTGAGGTTAAAAAAATCTTAAAAAAATAAGCTGGAAAAATACAGGCGTTGGTGATGCACACCTTTAATCCCAGCACTCAAGAGGCAGAGGCAGGTGGATCTCTGTGAGTTTCAGGACAGTCAGGGCTACACAGAGAGACCCTGTCTTGAAAAAAAAAAAAAAACCAAACAAACAAAACAAAAAACCTCCATAGAGGTCTGCACGGTGCTCATGGCTTATCTGTTTTCTTTCATGAAGCCTCCTTGGCTGAAAGCAAATCGGCTAAAGTCTAGAATCACGTGAGCCAGAATGCAACGCATCTTTGTTCAAGTTACACTGAAATCTTAACTATAAAAAAAATCTTAAGGGTTTTTTTTTCAATCATGAAAACCCATGGAAATTTTAACCACTGAAAACAGTTTTATGTAGTTTACAAATAAGAGCCAGACAGAAATTAACATCTACCTTTTTTTTTCTGCAGTGATTCCTTAGCTTTTCCTGGCTGCTGTAACAAAATGCCAGAAGCTGGGTGACTTAACAAACAACAGAAGTTTATTCTTTACAATTCTAGGGGCGGGGAAGCCCAGGATCAAGACATGAGCAGCTGATGTGTGGTGAGGGCGAGGTTTCTGGTTTCTAGCATGTACTTTCTTGGCTGTGCCCTTGCATGGCAGGATGGAACTAGTCCATGGCTCTCTTTGGTGAAGGCATGCATCCCAGCTGCACCCTCATGATGTAATGCCTTCGGAAGGCCTCACCTTCATAGGGTCACCTTGGAGGTTAGGATTTCGTTGTATGGGTTTTAGGGGTGCAGACATTGAGGTCATAAAGTGTAATGATTACACATCAGTCCTGCAGAGTGAGGAGGCGTAGCGTGCCCTTCCTCTTTAAGCTTTAGTTTCTCCTTGTATAAGATAGAGGATTTGGTTCAAATTACTACCAAGGTCATTTTGACTCAAGTGTGCTTCTGGAAAGTTATGAAACACAGTCTGTAACCATGGTGAGGCTGGATGATTGGTGGATCCAAAAATACATTATTTTCTCCTTCTCCCGAACAGCAATGCTTTCCCATTGAGTAAGTCACTCTGTGTATATTCCCTTAATAAACCAATTTCTTGATTTTTTTTTAAAAAGAAAATACCAGCTGCTTAATAGTGAATGGAAGAGCATTGAGAAACACCAAACAAATGAGCTCTTGCCTCTGTATTAAATATAGATCTGCATTATTGCACTGTTTTTCTTCCCTGTTGTAGGTATTCAGAATGCAGTGGGTGATGATTTGATAAATTTAGAAACTACTTCACATCAATTCCTGCTGCCTCTGTGTTTATGTGAGAATCTCATTAAAAATATATATGATTTATTCTCTTAAAATATGATTTCCTTCATTTTTGCCTTTCTACGGGCAGCATTTTGTGTCTATAAATACGGATTTCTGTCAAGAACCTTGCATCGATGGTCATTCTTCTCCATTAGCATCTAGGTAATCTGCTTAGACAGTACAGCATTTGACCCTCTTGGTTTGCTGAAGTGTGGTCTCATCAGTTTGACCTTGCGCACTGGTGTCCTGAGCAGCCCTCCCAAGGGCCACTGTGATGCTGCAAGGCTTGTGGCCGTGCTCCTTGGGGACTGTCCCCTGTCAAGAGCACTGCTCCTGAAGTGAGGCATCCTGACCTAGTTGGGACAAGTCTGAGATGGACAGGCAGTGTCTCACTGGTTGCTAACATACACTTCGGACAGATTCAGTCCTCCAAAGTTAAAGGAACATTGCCCAAGAAAAGCCAGCTGTGCCCCTCCCATCACTCGGGAGGTGGAGACCGGAGGGTCCAGAGTTCCAGGCCAGCCTTAGAAGCAGTCTGGACTGCATGAGACGCTGTGACAAAACAAGGCAGAGAGATTTGATTTTTCTCACTGTTTTAGTCTGCAGTAGTATGTCTGACTAGCTGTGTGAGATGAGAGGGTTGCTCACCTTCTCTGAGCTTCAGTTCCATGTTCTAATACACCTGGGTCTTTTTTTTCTAAAATGCATTTGGTTCTAAAACCCAGTTATGTTCATCTCATGGCTAGCTCCCCCGACTCTTGCCCCCTTCCTTTCATTCCTTCTAGCTTCATTTAAGCTTGCTGGGGGCCAGTCTGTGCTTTAAACTTAAGCAGCTTTCCCTTGTTTCTAGTGGTTCTTCTTTAGATCAGTGTGGCCCAATTTTTCAGTTTGTAGAGATTTTTAGAAAGCATTTATTACTAATTTAGTCCATTTATTTTCTAGACATGTTGAGATGAGGCTAACTCAACAACTCAATTTGCTTTGCTTTTCTACTTGGATAGTGGTCTAAAAAGAAACCATACTTACTCTTATAGAAATTATAATTAGACACACTTTCCCCAGCAGGCATTTCTGTACGTCTTTGTCAATGAGAATGAAGCCGATTAGATGCTATTGACAGAAGTTACAGGATATCCCAAGAGAAACAGTGTTTGCCATGTACCCACCTGCCTTGCCATCGTTGCAGAATCTATTCTGCTTAGTACTTCCAAGCTGGTAAGAGCAAAGAAAGGTTGACAACCACAAAACCCTGTAGAAATGGGTTAGATGATAGTCTTAGGATAGGGCCACTTACTCGTTAAAGAAATGCCTATCGCATTGTCTGATAGGTTGTCTTTGGCATATTGTCATGCACAACAGACATTCTTAACCTTACAGAGTTGATTTTTCTAGTATTAGAAAACAGAATTCTCAGTAAACACAGGTATTACTATGTTTTTCACAAAGTAGTACAAGCTGTGGGAACAGGAGAACTGGAGCAGAAAAGGAGGAATCCAAGGAAAATGGGGAGCGGAGAGCTTGGCTATCGTATAAGTACCTGTGAATAGGTTAAATTTCCAGGCTAAACAGACTTCCTGGGTGCAATCAAAGTTAAGTCTTAAACTAGGAGATGCCCCTTAAAGTAGAAAAATCACACTGGTTAGTGTATGGAAGTGTCAAGACGTTGGCGTGCTCTCATTCCAAATCAGCATCAAGGGGCCCATGGGGAAGCATAAGAAGGACAGGGAACAGTCTTGAGGAAATAGATCAGCTTTCCACTCACTGCCCCCCAGAGACCCAACGGAGACTGAATCCAGCCGAAACCCAGAAGCAGGCAGAAGCAACCCGAAGAAGATGCTTTCGGTGGGCTTAAGCGAAAGACTCAGCTGATGCTGCAGCCGGGCTTGTGACCCACAGAACTGAGATAATAAGTGGTTTGTTTGAGGCTCCTCTTTTTGTGGAGCTTTGACCTATCAGTAATTGAACACCCGCAGGGTAAGGGAGCTGGCCAAGAGAGCCCTAGGCAAAGAGAAAGCCAGAACCACGTTCCAAGGTGGTAGACCTGGGGGATGGAGGGACTGCAAGGTGGTCTCTGTGACTGGAATGCAGAAAATGGGGTTGAGTGGGAAATGAGGTCAGAAAGCGAATTTAGTGGAGACCATAAAGGAGTCTGGCTTTTATTCCAAGGGAGCAATGGGGACATTGCATGTTTTCATCACAGAAGCAATCAACTTATTTAGCTTAAAAAAAAAAAATCTTACCGGCTGCTCTGAAAATAGACTCCAGGAGAGAAGCAGGAAGGCCAGTTAGAAATGATGGCAGGATTCCTAGTGCAAGATGGTGGCAGCTCAGATCAGTAGTAAGGGAGATGATAAAGTGTAGCTAGAGTTTTCCTGCCTTGTCCACAGTCAGGACAAATCTTTGTCACCCGCCAGTCCCACAGCCGCTCAGACCCAACCAAGTAAACACAAAGACTTATATTGCTTACAAACTGTATGGCCGTAGCAGGCTTCTTATAGCTTAAATTAATCCATTTTCATAAATCTATACCTTGCCACGTGTCTGGTGGCTTACCGGCGACTTCACATGCTGCTGGTCATGGCGGTAGCTGGCAGTGTCTCTCTGCCTCAGCCTTCTGCTTCCCAGAATTCTCCTCTCTCCTTGTCCCACCTACTTCCTGCCTGGCCACTGGCCAATCAGTGTTTTATTTATTGACCAATCAGAGCAATTTGACATACAGACCATCCCCCAGCAATAAAGTGACAAGGCTAGGTATATTTTAAAGGTAGTCTGTTTCTTTATGACTTGGATGCGGGGGAGAATCCAGAGATGCTCCCATATGACCTAAAGGATGGAGTTGCTATCAGCTGAGATGCAGAGAACCACGGGTGGAGTGTTAAAGAACAGAGTGGAGCTCAGTTTGAACATCCTGGGTAAGAGATGCGTGTCAGCCACCCAGCAGGGGGCACAGTGCGGGAGGCAGAACAGTTGGTCTCAAATATTTGACATTCTAGTCTCCGTAACCTGTGGCTGTGTCACTCTTGGGTTAACCTTGAGATGGCAGGTTATCTAGGTGGCCTCGCCTATTTGCGCCAGTCCCTAAAAGCTGGGAACTTTCACGTGGTGGCCAGAAGCCGAGGCAACTGGAGAAGTGATCAGAAGCACCATTGCCGAGTGAAGATGGAGGAAGGAAGACATGGGCCTGAGCATGTGCATGGCCTCTAGCAAACAGACGTGGCCCAGAAGCCTGTTCTCCCCGGCATCCTCAAGACCGCCAACACCTGACCATACAACTACAAAATAATAAAAGTTAACTTGGGTAACTCACTACAGTAGCCACAGAAAATCCACAGAGTAAGCAGTTGGATATAAAAATCCATAAGAAGAGAGAGGTAGACATTTGAAGGCGCAGAGGTAGCTTTGGAAGCCTTAGCTGAAGGAGATCTCCAGGACCATTTATTGACAGGATAGAGAGACACTTCTTATCTACTCCCTGCTGGCCAGGTGCTCCATGCAGGGTCTTAAGTGTATTTCAAGTGTCTCTCTCTCTCTCTCTCTCTCTCTCTCTCTCTCTCTCTCTCTCTCTCTCTCTCTCTCTCTCTCTGTGTCAGAACGGCTCAGTGGGCTTCTCCTGGTATTCCATATGGCGGTGGCTCAGTAAAGCCAGAGTAGACAGTGGAAGAAGAGGGCAAAGCTTAAATGAGATACTGGCAAAGGCTGGACTGAAAAAGTGTGCCAAGAGATTTGGGGGAGGAAATAGTGCCCAGTAGAGAAATGTACTAATTGAAACAAACAAACAAAAAACCTTCTGCTAAAATTTAAACAAAACATAACCTGTCCTGGGTTAAATCTTTAGAGATGTATTTTTTTTTTAAATGTATATTGAATGTTCCACTGCATGTTTGTCTGTTCACCACATGTGTGCCTGGTGCCCTTGGAGGTCAGAAGAGGATATCAGAGTCCCTGGAACTAGAGTTAAAGTGTGTTGTGAGCTACTACTTGGATGCTGGGAACCAAGCCCAGGTCTTCTGTGAGAGCAACAAGTGCTGTTAACCACTGAGCCATCTCTCCAGTTCCCAGGCATGCATTCCTCCATACAAAGTTCAAGTTGTAGTATGTTCAGTGTGTGTGTGTGTTGAGGATAAAAACCAGGGCCTTGCACATGTTAGGCAAATTTCCTACCGCTGAGCTGCACCCCAGTCCTTGAGGGTTCCTCTGTGTAGTTTTGGTGCCTGTCCTGGATCTCACTCTGTAGACCAGGCTGGCCTTGAACTTACAGAGATCCGCCTGGCTCTGCCTCTTGAGTGCTGGGATTAAAGGCGTGTGCCACCACTGCCCAGCTAGCTTTGACTTTTTAAGCAAAATATCCATGCATATGTGTCAAAAGACCTAAGCACTCATGGCACCGTGGAAACTCAGAGCAGAGTTTCATGCCCCCACCCACCCCTCACCAGGGCCTTCCTGTTGATTGTGATACCTTATTCCTTGTTATCGCAAACCTTCCCATGGCTTCAGCCATGCAAGTTTTTGTTTGGGTTTGGTTTGTTGTTGTTGTTTTGTTTTTCCAGACAGGGTTTCTCGGTGTAGCCCTGGTTGGCCTGGAACTAGCTGTGTAGACCTGGCTGGCCTCTGACTCACAGAGATCCACCTGCCTCTGCCTCCCAAGCACTGGGATTAAAGTCATGCACTATCATGCAAGTTTTAACAGAAGTGTTATAGCATCCCGGAGGAACCTTCCATAGTACTGTAACAAAATACCACACACTACTCTTGGCACATACAGTCACCCCGCTCCTTCTCAGTGAAAATTCATTTACTGGCACACCTGTGTCCTTGCCATTTGATTCTGTCCACAGCTACATCACACACTCATTCAGACTCATGTTCTCATTCATATTCCCACCATTCCCTGTGTAGCTTGAAAACAGCATCCCCCTGCCCTCAGACGACCCCCATATGGAAGGAGCCAATTCTATACTTGTTGACTACACAGTTTTCCTGATTGTTACTCATTGCTCAGCCCACCCCCACTCCCATGGTCTGGTTTTGTGCCAGCTCATGAAGTCACGTACAAGCTAAGGACCACTGAGGCATTGGCATTCACAGGAAGACAGGCTATGGTTCTTCCCTGAAGCTTCCAGGTTCTTGCTTCCCTGTGCAGGATGAGGAGACACTCCTGTCTTTTTGCCAAACAGGCTAATAGCATGATGTAGTTTCTAGGTAAGAAGTGGATAAGAGACTGGATTGACCACAGTGTTCTGGTTATCTGATGCTGTGTATCAAATCACCCCAAAGCTTAATGACTTCAAACAACGGCAATCATTTGTTATCTCCCACAGTTTCTTGAGTCTGGAATTTGGCTGTATAGTCTGGCCCTGTTCCACATGGTATTCACAGTGTAGACGCAGCAGCTCTGGACCAGATTCACCTGCAGGCTTGTTGATGTGTCTGGTGCCTGATCTGAGATAGCTGGGTTCTTCAGGCATGTTTCTCCGTCTGTCTGTGTGACCGCTCTGTGGCCTATTATTTTCCAGGGGTGTCTGCACTGACGTATAGCTGTGGAAAGGAAAATCTCCACAGGCAGTGGCAGCGTCGCAGCGAGCACTGACATTTATGGAGGGCTTGCTGCTGTCCAGGCATTGTGCAGAGTGTTACGTCTGTGTTACATTATTTAACCCCTAGCAGGTGTGATTTATAAGGTAGCCTGCTTTTTACAGTGTAGGCATGGAGGAGAGTCAGTGAGGTTAAATGACGGTTTTAAGCTCACAATGGACTTCGGGGTTTTGTGATAAAAGGGCTAATGATGGAGAGTCAGTGGGAGCCTTGCTTCCAGAAAGAAGGAACCACAGCTTTGCTGGTGGCTCTGTCAGTTCCTTCTGAGTGGCCCCCCACCCCCACCCAGTACAAGCACAGCCCCCCCCCTTTCCCCTCCCCTGCAGGATCAAAGAACTTCTTTTTGTTCGATCACATTTCAATAATGTTTTCCTACTCCTGTTTTTCCATTTAAAATATAAATCACTTTTGTTATAACTGGAACCAATGAATTGATCTAGAAACTTGAGTATTATGAAAAGACACCCAAACTGATTTTTTAAAACCAGGAGTCAATCATTGTAGCACACACCTTTAATTCCAGCACTCGAAGGCAAAGGCAGGTGGATCTCTCATTAGTTTTTACTAGTGAATTCCAAACATTTTTTTTTTTTTTACAACCAGAGGCCACACCTGAGACTTACCTGGGTAGGTGGAAACCCTAGTGCGAATGGGAGAGTAAGTATCCTTCCCCACAGCCCCCTTCCTGCCTTGAACAGAACCACCCCTCCCAAGTACTATTCTGCCTCAATATCATTATTATAACAGCTTCTCTTGGATACTCTTATTGAGCACGTGCTTAGTGAATGAATTTCATACATTTGAGCCCTCCCAAATGGCTGCTGGGTCTGTGTTTTTTCCTTGAACTTTGCCATCAGTCTTTAGACAAGGAAAACATAATTTGGTTTGGGGACCCGTTCTAAATGTCCCCAAAGAGATAAAATATATGTTGTTTTGTCCTCACAGTAGTAGGTCAAACGCACACCTGTGTGTCCTTGTCTGGGTTCACACTGTCATTCATGAAGGACATTCAGGATTTTTCCAAGATGGTGTGTTGATTCGTTGTGTTAATTATACACTGTAAGTGGGACTGGGAGAATTGCTTCACCAACAGGCCCAACAGACAGACAAGCACTTCCTCTCACAGAGCCTGAATCCTTAGGGGTTGAGAGTGAGCTCACAGCGTGTTTAACTGGTTAGGTTGTGAGGAATAGTATGTAAAACTGAAACCCTGGAGAGGGCTTGTTGCTTGCTTCTCTCATTGCGGTGACAGAACAGTGACAGACAGGAGGGGGACCGTGCTCACAGTTCGGGGACATGGTATATCACGGCAGGAAAGGTATGGTGACTCCACGGTGGCAGGGGTATGCAGTGGCTGGTTACGTTATGGCAGCAGTCACGAAGAGACAGCCCCAAAGGGGTGTCATAACCTTGAGTCCCACCCCAAGGGACCTCTTTCCTCCAACTAAGCTTTAGAAAGTTCCACAACTTTCCAACACAACACCACCATCCGTGGACCACGCGTTCCAACACGAGCCTCGGGGACATTTCACATTCCAACAGTAACCCAGGGAAACTGGAGGGTCAGATTACATCATTCTACCCAATTATGTCCCCAGGGTTTTCCACCTTCAAGCAGAAGCCAGAAGGCCCTGTCCGAGCCAGCCCTTCTGCTCCTTCTCAACCACACTGGTCTCCTCACTGCGGGGGGGACCTTGGGCGCCAGCATTGTCCTTGTTCTTGGTACTTCACTTCCTCTTTGCGTGGCCACCCTCCTTCAGATAAAACTAACCCCTCCCCTCTCTGCGGACTCCACCCAGATTCATCAACTTAAGTATCAGTCTCTCTGCTACCACCCTCCACACGTCTGATCTCTTAGCCACAGCGCAGCAGGGGAGGTGGTGGGTATCAGCAGCTGGACACAACCATGAGCAAAGCTCCGTCACCACCTCTCCTGCTCAGAGCAAATCTGACCGTTGCTGGGGACCCAGGCCCCCCTATGCCCTTCAGCTCCGGGGAAGGTTCTCTGTAAAGGTCCTGCCTGGTGACAGCACTCCGGGGATCCCCCTGGACTCTACAGTAGAACCAGTTCAACCCTGCACTTAACTGGGAATTTCCACGTGACATTTGGCCTCTCCCCGCTGTGGCCCACATTCTGTGGCTTGGATGGAGTTTCTCGAAGTCGGGGGTCCTGTTTCAGATCGGGGTGACTCTACCCCAGGAGTCTTGGCTGTGTATATCCGGTCCGTGTCCCATTGTCAGGGAGTCCATCCTAGCCCTTCTCGGACGCCTCTCTTACATCATTGTCTCTGGCTGCCTCAGCTGTGTTCTCCGCTTTCAGTTTCACTGGCTGCTCTGACCTTTTATGTCTTTCTTGTTTTGTTCAGAAACTGAAACTGCATCTCAAACCTAGCAGGTCTGTGTCTGCCTCATTCCATTCTGTTAAAACCGCCGCCACCGCGCTCTCCTCTTCCCCCACTCTCTTCCTGATTCCAGAGCATCAAGAAGGGGCCACTGTCTCCACCAGCAAAGTTTTCTTGTCACAGGTTTGGTTCTTGCAGACTCAGGGTGGTGGTCTTCGTGTAAGAGAGACAGGAAGGAGGGACTGGGAAAATATCTCAGTGGGTAAGGCTGCTTGTTGTATAAGGATGCAGAGCTGAGTTCGGATCTCAGGACCCATGAAAAAAGTTGTGTTTGGCTGTGTGTGTGTCTCTGTCTGTCTGTCTGTCTGTCACCTCAATCCTGTGGCAGGTAGAGACAACAGGATCACTGAGGCTGCCAGCCTAGTTCCAAATTCAGTGAGATATCCTGTTTCAAAGGGAGAAGGCAGAGACCAATAGAGCAGGATATCCAATGTCCTCTTCCGGCCTTTGCATGTCTATACATGCATGTACTTATGCCACATACAGACACTTCACACACACACACACACACACACACACACACACACACACACACACACACATTCACTCATGGGGTGTTGGGGTGGTGAGGGGAGAGACAAAGGAAAAAATTAAGCTGCTATACCAGCCTCACTGGGAGTCTGAGCTGGAATAGCTCTTCAGACCTCTCTGGACTGAGCTGTCATAGCCAGGCCTTTCTACCAGCCCCCCTCAGTCATTGCATGTTGGTCACCCTGAGAAAGTGACCTGGGCAAAGTCCATCCCTGCAGAGCCCTAAAGCACTCATGGAAGTACCGCAAGAGCCTCCTGCCAGTCCTCAGCTCTACCTGAGCACCTTCCATATTACTGTAGGTGAGACTTGGTCTCATCTCTAAGATATGATGCAGGATTTTTATTAAAAAGTAGTGACCTCTGGGGCTGGGGAGATGGCTCAGTGGTTAAGAACACTTACTGCCCTTCCATAGGACCTTGGTTTGGTTCCCAGCACCCATACAGTGGCTTACAGTGATCTTTAGCTCCAGGTCCAGGGGATCGTATACCCTATTCTGGCCTCCTTGGGCACCAGGCACACATCAGGCAAAACACTCATAAAAAAAAAATGGTTTTTTTTGTTGTTGTTGTTTTTAGAAAAAATGAAATAAACTTTATGGTCAGTCTTAGTTTGCTACTGAACTTTTGTAGATGTCACTCATTGATGAAGCCTTAGAGATGTTTATGGAGCACTCCTGTCTGGCAAATGGAGATTTGGGGTAGTAAGAAGGGAGAGGAGACCTTGGTATGGCTTTCCACAGCACAGACTCCCTCCTGTTGTTGTTTGTTTTTACTCTTTTGGGGGGTCCGCCACTCAGCTTCCAAATAAATCACACACGGAAACTTTTTCTAAATGTCAATGCCCCGCCTTAGCTTGGCTTGTGTCTTGCCAGCTTTTCTTAACTTAGCCCATCTGTCTTTCACCTCCGGGCTTTTACCTTTTCTTCTGTAACCTTACTTTCACTCTTACTCCATGGCTGGGTGTCTGACTACTTCTCCTCCCAGATTTCTCCTTTTATATGTTCTTTCTGCCTGCCAGCCCCGCCTTTCTTTTTTCTTGCTTTGTTTTTGGTTTTTCGTTTTTTTTTTGGCCCTTCGGTTTTTTAGACAGGCACAGTAATACAGCTTCATAGAGTTAAACACATGCAACATGAACAAAAGTAACACATTTAAAATAATATTCCCCAACACCCTCCCATCATAAGTACTTGAGAAGCAACCTTCTGAAATGTCACCAGACAACTATGGAAGTGGGATCATGAGAGAAAAGTCACCCAAGAAAGGTGCATTCTAGAAGGACTCTGCTGTGGGGCCATGGGAACCCAGTCCCTTCAGGCACTCCAGAAACCAGTCTCCACTCTCCAGAGTTACCCTGCTCACATGGAAAGGAAACTGGGACACTGTCAATCAACTGCCCACCTATCCTTGTCCTGAGGTCCAGAAAGAAAGGTGCTTCTTGTGTGCCTTGTGTTTCAACAGAATGGGTCTCCAACAAAGTCCCAGTGGGAACTAGAACAATACTGAAGTGGGTGAAGGGCAGGATACCCTGCTGTTAAACAGTTGGGGGCGTTTGGAGAGGGCTGACTAGACCTTTCATCCTGTCTTCATCTCCTACCTAGTGAACATTGGGCAGTAGGCAAATGAAGCCTTGGTTTCCTGCTCTGAAAACGGTATCGATATGGTAGAATTCAATTCACAGGGGTATTATAGGACACTCCACAATGTAACTGATATCAAAATATCTAACTAGAGCTTGCCATGTAATATGCAGGAGCTGTGCTGCTGGTTATGATTGGCAGGTCGGAGTGAAGAGGGAGGGTCAGGTGAGAGAATGGCCAGAGCTTGGGTAAACATGCCAGACAAGAAAAGAAGCAAAAGGAGAAATTCGAAGGCCAGGGAAGGCGTCACAACTGAGAAGGGCTGCCCACTTAGAACAAAATCTCACAGCAAAACCACCAGGGGAAGCCCAGTATTTAAACACATTAACGGAGCCACTCGCTTGAACGTGGAGTCCGAACCTCGGTCCTTTGGTTTTTTTTCTCCTCCTCCAACTACCCACAGCCCCTGAGGGAATTCTGAGAAACCCCAATGCTGCAAGAACAAAACCAATTTCTATAGAAGGATGTGTAAGAAGCCACCACAACACCTCGTTTGTTCTGA